GTATGAAGCAAGTTATCTGGAGCTGCTGATTTTAAAACGTCTGTCTTTAGTTGCTGCTGTTTAACATCCTCCGGAGATACTAGTGGAATGGTAACACTCTTACCATGAGACTGCAGCATCTGTTTTTTGTCCAAATACAGAACCAAAATGTTAATTGAAAATGTCTGCCTTTACAGCATTATAATTCTACTATTTTCATTTAGTAATAGACTAATACCATTGTGAGGATTCTTTTTGTTCCTAATATATTTTAAAACTCCTCACTGTCCTTAATTCTGGTGGCCATAGATTTCTCCTTGGTGTCCCTTAGCTTCCCTTATTAATTTTCTACAATTCTTAACTTCTGAGTTATATTCATTACTATCAACTTTCCCTTTTCCCATTTGTTATATATTATTTTCACTTTTATTTTTTTCAGCTGCCTTCACTTCTCCTCTAAACCAGGTTGTTTTTTTAATCAGCACAGCCATCTTCCTTGATTGTGGAATTGTGGCTTTTGAGGCATCTAGTAAGCTGTTCTTAAATGATTCCCAATTATCAATCACAATTTCTTATTAAATTCTTCCTCCCATCTGATTTGGCTCATCTTTGTAAAAATGGCCCTCTTAAAGCACCAACTATATATATGACTGATCTACTTTATTCTGTTTGCAAATTATAAATGTGATCGAGTCATGACCATTTGTACCTAAGCTACCATTAACTTTTAGTTCTGTGATCAGTTCCTCTTTATCTGTTAGGACAAGGTCAAATGTAGAATTCCTTCATGTTGGCTGCAACCCTTTCTGAGTTAGGAAATTGTCATCTATTATAATTAGAAACTCCAAAGATGTTTTAGTACTGACAGCATGAGGCCTCCCGCATGTCACTCAAATTGAAGTCCCCTATGATCACACATTTCCCCCCTCCAATCCCCTATACATTATAGATAGGTGTGTAAGGAGACAGTCATCTTGTTCCCTAGACAGTCATCTTGTTCCCAGTCCCTGCCCCCACCCCTCCCCCCAATGCCCAACCCCACCTTTTCCCACCCCCACTCCACCCCTGCCCCTTCTCTTCCTCGCCTCTTTCCACCCCTTGTCCCGAGCGCACCCTGTCCCTGCTCCTCCCCCTCCCTCCAGGTGCCCCCTGCACGCCGCTGAGCAGCTGTTCCCCGGCATGCAGAGGCACTGGGAGGGAGGGAGGAGGAGCTGATCAGCAGGGCCGCCAGCCCCTCTCGAGTACCCTCACGGACCCCCAGGGGTCTGCAGACCCGAGGTTGAGAAAAACTGCGTTAGGCCATTGATCCGTAAGCATTTGAGATCATTTTCTTCCTAGTTATCTGTGACTTGGAAACAGGTATGTAAACAATTTATACAAACCCAGCAGGATAGCACTTTCCGGCAGGCTGAATGCCCAGTCCTTCCAGCCTCATTTCGGTGGTACTACACACAGAGTAAGTGACTAGTCGTGATTGAGAGCAGCAGAATCTGGAGCTTAAAGATGCAGAGGAGACCTGATCACAGTCAAACGAATTGAGAAGGCCACCAGATGATGGATACGTACATGAAACTGGCAGTTCTTGCCTAAATCGTTAACGTGTAGCCCTTCAGTGAAATTTAACCAAATAGATCCTTTCAAAGAGATTGCAACCAAAATCCAAAGGGAGGAGATGCATAAAGAACTGCCAAGTGAAAAGATGACAATGGGAGTACAACATGTTCCTGAATCTCTTATCAAATAAAGGAAACGATCAGTCAATTCTGACTAGAGCCCTACCATGAAAAACTTGTCAGTCAAAAAGAAGAAACCAAATCCCCAGAATTACCAGCTCTAACGAGGCGAGAAATATTTAACATTATGGCAACAGTTAATTGTTGGAAGGGAAAGCAGGACTGAAATGGGGGTTAAACCAAAGAGGGGAAACCACAGAGTTGAACCTTGAACATAGGACGCAGGTTAGAACTGCAAATCAGCAGAGACTTTAGACAGCAAAGGAGAAATGGATTGAGTGTTATAAAAATTACACAAGATTGACCCTATGGGGGAAGCATACTTGCTATTGCTTTGTTCATCCCTGCTCTTTTACTACCCTAGATTTCAATTTATGTCAGCTATCCAACACAGAAAAAACACACTGGAATTGCTCCTATCGTACAGCCAGTCTCGCCACAGGCACTGACTTTCATTTTTCTGGGCGGGTGTTCCACCCCTGCTCTGCCCCGAGACCCCACCCCCACTCCATCCCTTCCCCCGAGGCCCCACCCTCGCTCCACCTCTTCCCATCCCCGCTCTGCCCCCTCCCCCAAACACCTCCTGCCAGCTGCCGAACAGCTGAGCGGCAGGGCTACTGAAGAGCTGTGGCTGGTGGGTGTTTATTTTTCTGTGGGTGCTCAAGGCCTGGAGCACCCACGGAGTCAGCACCTCTGAGTCTTGCTTGCTCTGTTCTGCAGACTGTGAGCCTTGAGCAACTTGGGCTTTACCCTGGCTGCAGTTTTAATTTGAGTTTATGCAATTTGGTGAACATACTCTGCTAATGCATTATTATTATTATTGCTTAGATTTTGATTGGTGATGTTTTGCTGTTATAGTCAAAGTTACAAGATGAGGAAACGGACAATTAGAGTCTGGCTTTGAGATTTGATGGTGGCTTAGCCGTGAACTGCCGAGTCCTTGTGATAATTGCTGTCTTTTGTTCAGGGTATGCAAGATAGGGCTTATATAAGGAAAAGCACTCATGGAATGTGTATCAAATACATGTGAGAGGTGGGCATGTGCAACAGAGTGTTTGTGACAACAGGGGGCTTGGAAGCTCTGCTCAGTAGCTTTGGATGTCATGCTGATAAAAGAAATTGCCAATTACAGCTTAAATGTAATTTCATATTGTATTTCACGGCAGTCTAGGGCCCTACTGCCAGTCATTAGGGCACTCAGTCCTCAGCGTCCAAAAATCCCAGCTGCTGCCAGAAAGCAGTCTTGTTGTTTTCTTTTTCCGAATTAAAATATTTGCTTTTGTTTATCCATTTTGGACAGTCTACTTTGGAGGATTTCTGCTGCTTTCTATTGTTGATCGTATGCTGGACAGACTGGGAATGGGACCTGGTAGCTAATGGCAAGAATATTAACTGAAAATGAGCTAGAGCAAGGCTGATTAGATTCAAAGGCATGGCCCTATAATGTCACAACTTCGAGACAATGACTACGTCTAATAATACATTTTGTTTTGTTTCCCTCGTTCCTTTCTTAAAGCAAAGGTGAGGGCAGACAGGCAGTAGCACCATGACGTCAGTGGAACAAATACACTTGACTTATAAATAAGGGAAACCTAGTAAACTCTGCTTAGCAACAGAAAACAATCTCAGTTAAGGTGAGGTAAAAACAGCAAAGCAAATATCTATGATGCAGTATTAGGACCCTTTCTCTTTTTCCTCCCATTTTATTTACATGCCATGGATACAAGTACCAAATGAAAATGAATGAACAAAATTACAAAGGTGTCCTACAATAAAAGACACTAACGAAATATTAGCATGCATTTGGGGTTCATTCACAACACAACCGGTTTGGAGGCAGGGAGACATTACCAGGACTGTGTATAGCCTAAACGCAAGAGAAATCCTTGTGAATTCCCCAGTGAATGATTCTTTAGTTTCAGTAGAGTGAGCTCCAGAGCAGCTGTTACATGAATGATTTGAATGAACTATCCATTTGTGATTTGTGGGTGGGAGTTTTAATCCACTACAATAAAACTCAGATTGCTTGCATCTTGTACCTGCTAAAGATTAATAGCTGAAGCACTGTCGATGAGTCATTCTGCTATCTGTAACCTTGGTAACCCCTCTTTTTAGTGTCTCAAAGCCTTGCTAGAAGGAAGAGTATAAAAAATATGTACTGTATATACTCTGTGTAGATTCATATACGTGTGTGTGTAGATACATGTACACACACACATATATAAACACATATATATGCCATGTGTGTGGAGATGCTATCGATGCTATTTATTTAGATTAATTTTGAAAGAAATAATAGAAGTGCTCATCTCCGGCCGTGGGCACCCCTTAGAAGGCTTAAAAATTCCCACCTTAGAAGGCTTAAAAATTCCCAATCAGAAAATGACATTAGTCAATTAAATCTATCACTATCACTGTCCCCACAATTTAATTATCTCTTTCCAGTAAACAACCCTGTCTACTTCTGAACCTCCCCAAATACCTGAGGGGAAAAAGATGAGCTTTGCAGCATGTCCAGGAAATAACAAATCCAGACTGTGGCGTATTCAGTGGGAAAGCACATTTTAGGGTCAGTGGGCCCTCATGGATCTCTTTTATATTGAAGGAGCAACGTGTTCACTAACCACAACTGCAGCAGAATAACATGAGGAGAGGGGTGGTCTCTTAGGCTTTGCCTAGAGGAGGATTTAAAGGTGTGATGTCAGATGAAGTTATCCAGCTCCATCTATCTAACACCTTCTAGAACTTTTGACAAGTCCCAGCAATTGTCCTTTAGTTGCAGCACATGCTAAATCGGTTGAGTTAAAGCTTAAAGGGAAACCTAGATTTAATTTGTCCCGTTTGTCACACACTAAAGATCAATCGCTTTGTCTTGACTAGCGTTTCAGAAGGCATTAATTAGATCAAGCTGAATAATATGATAGCCTCAGGTAACCCAGACTGAGACCCATACTACATATGGCTTTACTGATAAATAGCCTCACCTTGAATTCCACTCTGAAGACCACAGACAACTACATTGGGCACTGGTGTAGTGTGTACAGCTCATTGGGCACTGGTGTAGTGTGCTCCCAACGTAAAGTAGCGGTTAATAAATGTGTGCCACATTCTAGACTATCTTCAGCTTCTGAATGGTCTCAGTGTGTAACCCCAAAGAAGAGCACACTCCAGTAGCCTAATCTTAAAGAGACAAAGGCATGAATAAACTTAGGGCATGGCTACACTTGCAGGTGTAGAGCGCTTTGAGTTAAACCAGCCTTCGGAGAGCGCAGTAGGGAAAGCGCTGTAGTCTGTCCACACTGCCAGCTGCCAGCGCACTGGCGTGGCCACATTAGCAGCTCTTGCAACGGCCACAGAGAGCAGTGCATTGTGGTAGCTATCCCAGCATGCAAGTGGCTGCAACGTGCTTTTCAAAGTGCGGGGGTGGGCTGGAGTGTGACAGGGAGTGTGTTGTGTGTATGTGCAAGGAGAGAGAGTGGTTTTTTGGGGGGCTGAGAGCATGTCAGCATGCTATCTTGTAAGTTCAAACAGCAGCAGACCGCCCCTTCTCTCCCCCACCCCCCGCCTCTCTCTCTCACACACAGCATTCCACAGTAATGGTTGCTTTGTCTCGGAGCAGATAAGCAACCAGCTGTCAGAAACGGAGCTTTCAAAGGGCATATCCAAAACAATGACAAGAATGGCCACTTGACTTAAGGGGATTATGGGACGTTTCCGGAGGCTGATCAGAGCGCAGTAATGCAACACCTCGTTCACACTGGCGCCGCAACGCTCCAGCGGGGGTGCAGCAAACGTTATTCTACTCGCCGAGGTGGAGTATCAGGAGCGCTCTAGCCGTGGAGTCAGAGCGCTCTACGTGCCTTGCCAGTGTGGATGGGGAGTGAGCTAGTGTGCATGGGGTTCCTTTAATGTGCTGTAACTCGCAAGTGTAGCCAAGCCCTTAGTAAGGGACACATCTGAAATGGAAGGCCTCACTTCCTTACAAAGCGCAGATGGAAAACCATATTCAACACAGCTGCTGTCAGAGTAGCAGCCTTGGGTATAATATCCCTAAATTGTAAACTTCCTTCACAATTAATAGTCACACACCATCAATTAGTGGTGCGTGTACAATTTAACTAATATGGCTAGCCTAGTCCTCTTGAAATATGACTCATCTATAGTGCCAGAGGTTCTGGATTAAAATTATGGGGAAGACCTGGTGGCAGAAGTGAAAATTATTTTTTGGAAGGAAGGACAGGCCACCCATTAGGCCACTAGGATTCAGCAGACCCGCATTCAATTCTCTGCTCTTCCACAGACTTCCTGGGTGACCTTGGGCAAGTTACTCAGTTGCTCTGTGCCTCAGTTCCCCATCTGTAAAATGAACCCTATTTTGTCTAAAGGGGACCTCAGTCCACAGCCAACTAGCTATCAGCCGAATTCTGTTCTCTGTTATCCCAGCATAAAGCTAAAGTAATTATTGACCCCACATGAGAGATCTTTGGAATGTATGAATAATTACCCAGCCATTTCCATCTACTTCTAAGGACCAGAGCCATATCAACAATGTAAGACTTAGTCACAAGAAAATGATTTTGTGGGAGAGATGACAGGTGAGGCATCAAAAGTACACGATAAATCCATTTCTCGCATGCCTCCATAGTTTATCATATATATATCTCACCCCACTATGCAATGTCTGTGTATCTCTCAGACGTATAAACTGTATTGCTTAACAATAGCTTTTAATTTAAAAAAACCCTCCTGTACTTCGTAAAGGCCATTTTAGCGGCTTGAACACAAATCTGCTTTCCCTTCCAGTCCTGTCCTTTTCTATTTAGCTAATTGAAACTAATAAGGCTCTTTTGTGAGCGTCTGTGTTTATTAGATTAACCTGATATCCTAGTTCCTGGGGATTTTTTTGAGCGCTCTGGCTGAATTATATTGAAATATGGGTTTGTCCCTGCTTCATTACCATCAGCCATTGACACATTTAGCGCCTTCTCTCCTGGCTCCCCCTTTCCACCACAGTTTCCTTGTTTGCTTTCTCCCTTTCTCCCCTTCCCCTTGTGGCTCCCTGCCTCTTTTTCCTTCATTCGGAATTCTGGTCCAGATGTTTCTGGCCTGGATTTGCTGTACTGCCTGCCGCCTCTCTGACTGCAGACACCCCCTCCTCAGTTAGTTTTTCTAAAGGTTATGCTCTAGCTGAAGCAGGAATTACTTCAGGGAAGTTCTATGGCCTGTATTATGCAGAAGATCAGATTAATGATCCTTTCTGGCCTTGGGAATATATTAATCCAAATTCTGGACATGTTACTGCAAGGAGATAGGGGGCATCGCAGATTGTTTGGGGTCCCCTCAGTCAGTGTCATGTCCTACCAAACCCTCTTCTT